ATTCTTCTATGATACAGCTGCTAGATTTTCTTCCTCTTGCTTAGTTTTTCTCACAGCACCCCCTACTGCTGGAAATCCAGGCCTTTCCCATTTGCTCATTGTATGTTTTTAGAAGCAGCCATAAACATTCGGCCGTCAAGTCTTTGCACAACTTGTCTTTATTTCCATATTCTCAATTAAACTGCTGGAAGTCAGAGTATTCATGTCACCGCTCCTAATGATGTGTAACCAGACTGTCCCCAGCGTGGCTGAACAAACCACTCACAGGCATCGGGGTGAAAGTGCCTCCAGCCTCAGCTTCTGCGGACCTGCTGCCCCCGTTTGGGGGTTACTGCTGCCCGAGGAGGTGGCTTGGTTAAGAAAATCCCTGAAAACCATTCCAATATCTGGCTTCCTTCAATTGGGAGTGAAAGTATGACAATGTCGGGCCTCCCTGGTGGCACAAGGGGTTAACGCGCAGCACTATGAGGTTCTCGGTAGCCAGAGCCACCGCAGCACGATCCCAGGCCAGGGAGTGACCCACAGGGCTCAGCAGGCCCCTCCTGCCTCCCTGCTGCTCCCCTCAGCAGTGTACTTCATCCATCTGCCTGTTCTGCTCCCCTCTCTGTTTCTGGTGAATCCTTCCACTCCACCCCACCACACACACACTCCTGGCCTACACTCCAGTTCCTGTATGCATAAATAAATAAAAATAAATCTTTAAAGAAAAGAGAGAGTTAGGACAGTGTCAAGAGTCATTTACTTACTGCTCTTGTAAGTGTCAACTTGGCCTCAAGTTACCACAGAGGCTTGGGTCCTGCTCTCCACACCCCTCTGCCGATCGCCCTACCCAAGTGTCTTCCCTGCTCCCCAAGAACGTGACCTTTACACTGATGACCAGAGGGTTTTCTGGCCTGCCAGAATGTGTTGACTGCAAGTATCCCCCATCATACCCACAACATAAGTTGTAGAAAACTCAAGCATTACAAAACACAGAATGTAGAAAGTGTGGGTCCGGCCTCACTCAGCAGCTGGGTTATTTCACTCACACCCGCCAGAAGCACGTATGTATATGTATATATATTAATTTATGTTTACAGAAGTTTCATACTACATATGCTACTTTGTATTTTTCTTTTAAGATTTATTTATTTACACAGACAGACTGGCCAGAGGCGCAGGGGCAGTGAGAAGATTCACCAGAGGCAGAGTAGGGAGCAGGAGAGGCTAACTGAGAAGTACACTGCTGAGGGGAGCAGCGGGGAGACAGGAGGGGCCTGCTGCACCCTGTGGGTCACTCCCTGGCCGGGGATGGAACTGGACATGAAGTGGCTGCAGACAGCTTCCTAGTGCTGCGCTTTAACCCACTGCACCACCAGGAAGGGACCTGCTTTCTATTTTTAACTTAATGGATCTTAGGCACAGCTTTCAAACATAAGGTAAGAAGTTGATTTAGATTTTGCTAAAATAATTCATTCATAGAAAGATCAATGTTTTATTTTCCTGTTCAGCAGATCTAAATGAACACTTAGAAGCTTCTAGCATTGTGAGACAGTCTGTGGGTAAAAATCATAACTATGTAGAGAGTCCTCATTTTTTGAGTTTCACTTAGCAAGCTAAATTGATTTTTGCTCCTAGGATTGCTAACTTATCAAATAT